ATATATATATTATATTTATTATTATTATTATTTTTATATTTATTAACACATAGGCCGATTCCCACCAAGGCAGGGTGGCCCGAGAAAGAAAAACTTCCACCATCATTCACTCCATCACTCTTGCCAGAAGGGTGCTTTACACTACAGTTTTTAAACTGCAACATTAACACCCCTCCTTCAGAGTGCAGGCACTGTACTTCCCATCTCCAGGACTCAAGTCCGGCCTGCCGGTTTCCCTGAACCCCTTCATAAATGTTACTTTACTCACACTCCAACAGCACGTCAAGTATTAAAAACCATTTGTCTCCATTCACTCCTATCAAACACGCTCACGCATGCCCGCTGGAAGTCCAAGCCCCTCGCCCACAAAACCTCCCTTACCCCTTCCAACCTTTTCAAGGACGACCCCTACCCCGCCTTCCTTCCCCTACAGATTTAAATGCTCTCCATGTCATTCTACTTTGATACTTTCTCTCTAAATGACGAAAGCACCTCAACAACCCCTCTTCAGCCCTTAGACAGGACATCTCCACTGCCTCCAACCACCCTCTCACTGCAGCATTTACAACCCAAACTTCACACCCATATAAGAGTGTTGGTACTACTATACTTTCATACATTCCCTTCTTTACCTCCATAGATAGCGTTTTTTGTTCATACATTCCCTTCTTTGCCTCCATAGATAGCGTTTTTTGTTTCCACATATACCTCAACGCACCACTCGCTTTTTTTTTCCCTCATCAATTATGTGATTAACCTCGTCCTTCATATAGTGAAGGGATTCAGGGAAACCGGTTATTTTATATAAACGGACTTGAGTATATATATATATGTGTGTGTGTTATATATATATATATATATATATATATATATATAATATATATATATATATATATATATATATATATATATATATAATATATATATATATATATATATATATATATATACAGTGGACCCCGGCTTAACGATCACCTCCTAATGTGACCAATTATGTAAGTGTATTTATATAAGTGCGTTTGTACGTGTATGTTTGGGGGTCTGAAATGGACTAATCTACTTCACAATATTCCTTATGAGAACAAATTCGGTCAGTACTGGCACCTGAACATACTTCTGGAATGAAAAAATATCGTTAATTGGGGGTCCACTGTATATATATTATATATATTACACACACACACACACACACACACACACAACACACACACACACACACACACACACACATATCTCTCTCTCTGTTGATATTTTCGTTTTATCTTGTCTACCTCTTACTCTAACTGTAGCTCCAACTAGATAATGATCCGATATATCCATTGCCCCTCTACAAACATACATCCTGAAGCCTACCCATCAACCTTTATCCACCAATACATAATCTAACAAACTACTTTCATTTTGTGCTATATCTTGTGTACTTATTTATCCTCTCTTTTTTAACCCTTTCAGGGATGGCAGGCCCTCTCTTAAACTTGTTCTCAGGGTCACAAATTTTTTTGAAAAAAAAAAAAATAAAAAAAATAATTTTTTCTTATGAAACGATAGAGAATCTTTTCCCGGTCATAATGATACCAAAAGAATGAAATTTGATGGAAATCTTACGGATTTATGCTCTCGCAAAGTTAACGGTCTGAATGATGTTTACGCATCGGTGATTTCGCCCACTTTGAGCCCTATTATCGGCCAATTCCAATGTATCAGTCGACAAAAATCATACCTATTTCGCTAGAACTCCAGTTTATCTATCGAATGAGTACAAGAAACCACCCATTTACTGATTTCAACTAACCAATAACGTGGTCAGAAATTAGCAATTTTGCCAATTTCACACAAATTTCAAAAGATGCCAATTTCCAAATAGGGTCCAGAATAAACAAGACAGACATTCCTGGCACTAAAATAACATTTCCTCTGTTCATTACTCATGTCCCCAGGCCTCTGTTACATTTCTTTTGCTTTCCACTTTGAATTTTTATTCTCACAAAAAAAATAGAAGATTTGTTATGCAGACGACTGCATTCATGTAGAAGTGGTATAAATAATATCAGCACACTTGTGAAATAATATTAGACTCCCCAGTTGATGTGTATTGGACACGTGGCATGATTTGTTTACCTTTGAATTTTGGCAAAAATCGAACATTTCTAGCTACTTTGAGCTCAATTTCAAGGTACTTTTCATTGTGAAACCAAAACCAATTAAAATCATCTCAATTTCCATAATATGTCTTCCATTCTATAAAATGAGACCAGGAAAACTAGAATACAACCATAAATAGCATATGAAAATACACTGCAAAGTCACTGTTTTAAACCAAAAACATGAAGTTTTTTTTTTCTCATGCACTGTGTGCTGGAGGATTTTTTTTATACTGTGCACACTGACCACATAGACCCCATTCTTTCATATGTAGGCCTACCAGCTTTCCCTCGTTAGATTTGAAGGCGCTAGAATTTATGCGTACTAGTATGGCACCAACCCTGGCGTGCAAACCGTACTAGTACGGCACCAACCCTGAAAGGGTTAAAATATGTATTACTTATTACCAAACCTCTTTCTACACATAGTTCAATTAAAGGCTTCCCATTTTCGTTTATGCCTGGCACCCCAAATTTACCTACTACTCCCTCCACAACATTTTTACCCACTTTAACATTGAGATCCCTCGACCACAAGTACTCTCTCACTTGGTTCAAAACTCCCCATGCACTCTCTCAACATTAACCAAAATCTGTCTCTCTCTCTCTCTCTCTCTCTCTCTCTCTCTCTATCTCTCCCTCTCTCTCTCTCTCTCCCTCTCCTCTCTCTCTCTCTCTCTCTCTCTCTCTCTCTCTCTCTCACCTCTCTCTTCTTCTCTCTCTCCTCTCTCTTCTCTCTCTCTCTCTTCTCTCTCTTCCTCTCTTCTCTCTTTTGTCTCTCTCTCTCCTGTCTCTCTTCTCTCTCTGCTCTCTCTGTCTCTCTCTGTCTCCCCTGTCCTCTCCTGTCTCTCTGTCTCTCTGTCTCTCAAAATCACCTCTTTCAGCAGACTTTTGACTACCCATGGGTTCGCCACTCAGTGCAGTCCATGGCGAACCTATACATGGAACATCTAGAAGCCGTACGTTTCCTCCACCATTATTCCTTCGTCTGTCACCTTAGCCCGTTATGTTGACCGACATTCTCCTCATAACTCCTAAACGCTTCACTTTCATGCTCTCCAAGACAAGCTCAACCAGTCGAGCCTTACATCTCAGTTCACACTGAAGAAGAAGTCGACAACACTCTTCCTTCCTTGATGTTCTGCTCTGCAAAGCTGACAACGAACTTCGTTTTAAAGGTCCTATCGAAACCACACCAACCAAAACGATCTCACCACTTCTACCCACCACAGCCGCGCAAAACCAAACGAGATGTGAAGTTAAGGCTTCTTCGCTACGTGCACTCAGAATCGTCAGCAATGAGTTCCTGAGGAAGAATGCACTATAATTGAACAATATTTTCTAAACTCCACTATCCTCGTCACTCATCAAGACTGCAGACGGCGGGACATTAAACATCCTTCAACACACCCAGAGAAAGACACTGCGAGAAGAGATACATAACCCCCCCAACAACCCCTTGCCAACCATGTTTCCAACATCCTTTGCCAAAACATCATTCCAAGCTATCTACCTCCACAACCACGCCCATCAGGACATCACCAGTAGTAGTACAGACAAGCCTCCATCCTCGCAGGGGTATACATAATCCCTTGTAAGGACTGCAACAAATTATATGTGGCGAAACATCAAGAAGACCTCCCAAACACGTTATTTTCAGAACACCAATCTGCAAGCAGGACTGACGATACAAGGAAACCTGTGTACAACATCGCAATTCACACAACCATTTAGTTAACTACAGAAACTCAAGACTTATACCACAGAAGACAACACTCAATACAGAATAATCCAGGAATCATCGCACATCTCTACACCCAACAATTTTAAAAACAACCAGAACAATGGCTTTCTATAAACATAGCAGAACCACTCGCCAAGAAAACTTCTTCATCGTATCCACATAAGAACATAAAACACGGCAGAAGGTCTACTCAAAACTTGTTCCAATACTCCCTGCCAAGCTACCCAAGACTCTATAACCCCCACCCGGTAGGATCATCAGCTGCAGCAATCTCAACCTGACCTCAACCTGACTATAAATATCTCGTACCTTCCATACCCCAGTAGACCCGTGTGTGACTTGAAAAAGCCCGCTGATGTGGATTTTTTGAACCCACGTTGTCAATACGATCACATTATACTGCTCTCTGTCTCCCTCTCTCTCAACATCTCTCCCCACTGTCTCCCACCACTTCTCCGGTGCAGAAACACATCCAACCTTCTATTACTCCACACAATCCTTGAATTAATACATTTATATTCCTTTTCCTGCTATAAACTTATCCTTCAACATATTGCACTTCCTTAAGATTGATTAGAATTTGGATGCACGAAAAATTTTTTGGGGTAACTGTCATTAAATATTGGTGACCTTTTTATTTGGTTTACATTTCTTCAGCCTGCTCTGGTAATTTTCTGAGGTTTTACTTTTAATGAAACATAATTTCCTTCATTCCAATTCTTTTGGAATATTAGGTATACCCAGTGTTGAGCAGTTTTTTATATGGAGTTTTCAATTGCGTTCACAAGGTGTACCTGTTTCTTCCTAGAATGAAGAAATAGTATGGTGGGTGGAGTGAGAAGCACGAGTAGATTGGTTTTCTTGGCTGCCGGTTTTTTGTTCCTCCTCCCTGTGCTTCTTTAACCTTCTACGACTCGTTGCAAAGCCTATTCTTACATGCAGCTGGGCAAGCGAGCAAATGCTTTTCAGGACAGGTGTGTTGAATCTGTGGTGAGAGCTTCATACAAGGAATGTACAAAAAAGCATTTATTGAAATATAAATCTTGCTAAGATCCACTAGTTAGGATCATATCCAGATGACGCAGTAAGCTTTTGAGACTTTTCTCCCACTTGCTTATTGGTGTTAATGACTTTTCTTTTATAAACCATTTTTATTTAGTTATATTCATACGCAGACCGAGTGCAGGTCTGTTGGGCAAGATCCTGTCAATACTGTTTATGAATGCATGAAGTGAAAGCTTTTATCTTTAATGTAGTGTGAAGCATACTTTCAGTGATCCTTTGTTCATTTCTGTTTTTTTAAAAAATATTCTAGTGTGAAAGTTTACCCCCCCCGGCCTACGCAAGCCCAGGGAACTCGGGGGTGGGTATGGTCCAGACCCTCCCTTGGTGAACTTGGCTTGAGAACTATTGTGAGAATGTATGGGTAGGTTGTGTGGGTGGTGTTCCTTGAAGGTTCTTGTTTAGGGTGTGTCCAGTGCCCTCAAACAACACACCTTGTAAATAATTTAATACTTATGTATATACATATATAGTACATGCATTCAAACACATACATGCATACATAGGTTCATACATATACATTAATATTTCATTCAACACACACACACACACGACACATGCTCACATGCACACATGCTCGTGCACACACACATGCTCACATACACACACATGCTCACATACACACACATGCTCACATGCACACATATGCTCACATGCACACACATGCTCACATACACACACATGCACA